AAAGGTACTATATGTACCTAAACAAAATTAACACAATTTGTTTCCAATTCCGGAAGAATGCTTCCGTATAGGTCCGAAAATGCAAACTTTCACTCCAGATACAGGTTTCGCCGTTCAAGGTGTCAAATTCGATATGGCTGACGACATAATAAAGTATCATTTCAAACAACATAATATAGTTTAGTAGAAAACGTAGAAACTCCAATAAAGGTACAAGAAATAGAAACTATAACAAAATACGAAGATTAACATCACAAAATGAGATTAAACAGTACCAAAATGTAGCACAGAAAGAGTCGGTAATAACGTATCACAATTATGTACATGGAGGGATTTTCCAAAACAGGAATTCGAAAAGGATTCTTCACCGGCTCGCAAAATCCCTCCATGAAAAGCAAAGCTGTTTAAATGCCTTAAATCGTGGTTCACTCTCATAATCTTAACCACAACAGAAGAATGAGTAAGACTAATAGCAGTACGCCTAAACGCCCCACAACATGGATATGACCTATGAAGCTTATTATGTACCTGTACCTTTTGATCAGGTTCTTGATCTCTCCATCTTAGTACAAACTTCATCCACTTAAACCACAATGACATGCATGACACGTCTTAGCGCTGGTCAAATCCTGCTCATGATTTATCTTATATATCGCCAATCCACCACTACTTGCTGCAAACGGCAGACACGATGAAGTCAATGATGACGGTTTATCAACACAAATTCCTTACCCATAATTAATACGCAAGGGTAGAATCTCTAATTTTCAAATTTCCCTGCCAGTTGAAAGCTCTGAATGGTATAATGCAGTAACAAGATTCAATTCTCCATCTACCAGCATTCATGACGGTAGGGCGATAACCTCAATCTACCCATGTCTGTGTGGCAGAACATTTTGTTTGCTTACGGCTCCTTACGATATAGCAGGATGTAACAAATCAGTGATATTGATGTTACTTTTCCTTGTTAACCTCGTCTACAACTCATGTCTGTAACCTTGCACTGGTTTTTACTTCCTACCGAGAAATCCTATTACAAGCTGGTCTGGACAACTATACTAAAAAAGAGCTCATTCATAACTTCTTGAGCCGAAGAGTTAAAAATAAAAAGAATAAATAAAACAAAATATTATATCACTGAGCCTCTTTATTATATCTTGTAAATCAACATTATTACTAACAACTTGGTTCTCCTGAATTTCCTCTATTTATTCGACTAACTTCCCATTAGTTATCTCACTACTGAATTGTCTTCATTAACCTACATAAGTGCAGGTGTACAGTAATGATATTAAAAAAAGTCTGAGTAAACATACCCTTGTTTTATCTATAAACGTATTTTCTGTTCCGCTCCTCGTCCCGTTTTCTTTATTCCTCTTTTTTCAGAACCTTATTCCACTCCTCATATATTAGTCTGGATATTTGCAGTAGACTTGGTTACCCTACCCAAGAACATGTGAAATCATTAGCTGACGAATATCAACCAGACCTCTGTACATTTGCCGCATCAATTCTTGTTATATGAAAACCCATCTGTACCATGAATCGTTTCTCAGTCCATAAGATGATTGTCGTAACGCAACCTTCGTAACTTGCGCCAATTACTCGCTTTGTACATTCCATCTTTAAGAAAACAATGAATCTCGTGAAAAGTTTCAGTAACTGTATACCGTTTTAAAAAAAAATATGTTGCTAATCTTAACATTTTGATCTTGCCTGTAAATTGGCATGTCTCTTGTAACATGTTTGTTATTTGAGAATAAATTATTATTATTATTATTATTATTATTATTAGGAGGTTTGATCAGCTTTCGTCATCGTTGGCAAATCATTTGAATCATCATTGACATCAAGATTATAATCATCGCCCTCGTCATTCATATCTGTCCGACCAGTCATATTTTTTCTGCCATCACTAGCAACAGCAGAGTGAAACTCTTCCATTGTTGTGTAGCTCAATCCGCTAGATGAAACAACAGTATAAGTATCATAATTCGAAAACGTAAAACTCACTTGTTGTTTTACATGTTCCACTTCAGAAACCCTAATCATGCGCACATCAGTAGAATCTTTACCATACAAAACTGCAGACTGGCGGTTACCAACAGATGCTTTTTTCTCATCAACACCGAGCCGACTGTCAATCGGATATGAAACAATTACAGTTGCACAAGTTTGTGCGTCTTCAATCACCTCTAAAATTGCAGCCGGTTTCGAAGACAAAGCATTAGACGATCCACGTAACGAACCAGATTGACTAGTCACCATGGGTGAATTGCTCACACCTGCTGTCTCACCACAATTGCCGTCACTACTACGATTCAGATGACTACTATTCTCATCACAAATCACGGCATCCGATCGAGAACGAAGTTTGTGTATCTTAATCGAAGTAGCATTATCCACATGTCGTTTCTTCTCATCCTCACCTTTGCAGAAGTATGTAAACGTAATGTAGGCCGACTACGATGCCGACGAGTGTCTTTGGATGTTCCTCGGTTACAGTTAACCGCAGGGGTATTATCACTACTATTATCTTCGGTAGCTCTAGCAGTAGAACTAGTCGTACTATTCTCTTGACATCCGTCCGACTCCTGGCTGATGTCCAGCTCAACTCGATCAACATTACTTTGATCATTACGAATGTAATTCACCTCATCTGTCTTATCACGGCTGGTAGTGCTGATCCCGAGACTTGTGGTACACGTCAATGATGGTGGAGTGTGACAGGTGATCAATTCCGTGCTCGATTCCCCATGCTGGATAGTCAACACAATAGCATGTCCATGAAACCCAGATGACTTGTTGCTATCTGAGTATTGATCGTGATCCTTCCAAGTAGTGTAATTACTATGACTGACGCTATTGCCACCATCGCCTACATTTTCCACCCTTAAACATCCGATCTTGTCCTGAACTGAAGTACTCGATGGAACTACACAAATAACAATTGAAAAAATCTCACTACTTATAGCGATTCCACCTTCTGTTCCAACAATTTTGTTATTCACATGACTATTCACCTCGACCTTATCGTTGTTGTCATCCATAGTGATATTTGCATTCTTCGCAGTTGTTGACGAATTGCGGGATAGTTGGCATGCAGGCTTAAAGGGTAAGCTACGACTGCTGCCTCTTATACTAACACTATCAATAATGCTTTGACTACTTGCACTGGTATGCGACTGTCCATCGCATTCTGACTCTGAACAACCATCAACAGGACTTGCTAAGCCACTACAAGATTCACTTTCACTACTACGACATTCTTTAGAACTAGAGATAGTAGTCGACAGACATCCTGATCGTGCAGCAACATGAAGTGCTGTGTCACTATCCACGCTTGATATTCTCAAAGCAGCTCTAGGTTGTGATTGACAGTTAACCCTACGAGAAGGGACCCAAACATACGCTTCGTTCCATACAGTCAAATCTGTTTCATCATTATTTATATCCACGGCACCTATTTTCTTCTGTTTGCTCGAATCCAAATTACCATTCCTTGCCAAACGAATTAAATGCGTATTTCGAGCAGCTAGGTGACGTCTACCATCACATTTCTCTGATGCTTCTTGATGCTTAAACCCTCTGCATTCTTTCTCCTTCGCTATCCTCAAAAAAGCCAGCTCATCCTCTACAGATACTGACTTCTGACTAGGATAGATGTCAACAAGCTCTACGTAATAAGGCTTACATATTCGGTCTTCAAGAGATTCTAGTTTACTAACACGATTAACAATTTTTCTGGTGTAGGTTCAAAGGCATTCGATGGATTTTTGTGTCCCGATGGCAGGTGGCTATTTAACTTCATATCATGTCCTGTTTTTGGGCAGTTGGCTGATAGTCCAAATCTACTACTAGCCATCTTTGCACGGGACGATATAAACTCTGTAAGTTCGGCAGATGTGAGCTCTCTGTCCTCATCACTCCATCCAACTGCCAGCTTTGTCCACTTGATCTGCATGCGATGAGTGAACAGCTTCAATATTCTTTTCAAATTTACTGAGGAATTCAATTTAGTGATACAATTCATTTGATCCAACACCATGAAACAGTTTTGCATCTTAATGCTTAAGTTCGATAGCTGCTCGGCATCATTATAATCAACATGTTCAGGATGAAACAGCTGTTCCAACGTTTCCGTAAGTATAGCGTGCTGACTTAATAGCCTTTTAAGAATTCCTTTAGCCCTTTTATGTCTCATGGACGCTTCAAACTTCACACATTTGCCGATGGTTGTTCTCGCCTTACCCAGACAGTAGTGAATCAAATATAGTAAACGCAAACTGTCGCCGTCAAATGGAGATGCAAATGAATTTCTAGTATCCACGAGGTTGTCCGTCGAGAAAGCTAAAACGAATATTGAAAAATCGATGAAAAAAGGCGCAAGAAAAATATATAAACGTCCCACGATTATTAGATTATGATATAAAGTATGAGAAAACGAACAACAAGAATAAAGAAAGAGTAGTACCAAAAAAAGAGTTCCAAGGATATTGCGCACAATCAATTATCACATTTCAGTGAACTTTCAACTAGACAGCACTGCATTAAATGAAATATTCATCTCTCTTCATTTCACATCTTTCTCCTTCCATCTAAATTCTTGTTTATCTTGTGACTTTCTGTTGACCTTAAGCACCCACGTATTTCTAGTAGAATGATCAGTTTGTTTTTTGTAAAAATGGTATGATTTTGTCATATGTGAGCGTGGCACTCTTATCATTACTAATGAAGAAATTGAAATGTGACCACGCTAAACAGCTCAATGTCATGATCTGGTAGAAATATTATTCTATCCTGTGTGATTGTTCCAATGGGAATTAGACCAGCTTCATCTTTCCATCACAGACTGACGAATTATGGTGATTTGATAATGCACATCACATCATGTCGGTGAATCATTTCGAAGCGATCACACTAAGGGAATTTTGAATTCAGTTTGATATCATATACTACTTATGTGAACATAAGTAGCGTACACCATGAAAATAAGTAGAATGAGTGGTAATAATGGTAGCAGTAGTAGCAGTAGTAGTAGCAGTAGTAGTAGTAGTAGTAATAGTATTGGTGGTATTGGTAGTGAGAGTATGATTACTAGAAGAAAAAGAATAAGAAAAATAAACAGCAGTAATGCTGTCAGTTGTAATAATATTAGTATTATCAGTGGTAGTTGTTGTGGTGTTATTTTTACTACTGATAGCATAACACTTAGTGTCAATTGTCGAATCTGTGTCTGTAATGTAAGGAATCGGTTGATAGGTGTAAGCAATGGTAAGATTACAGCGATTGAACAAGAACACAATGAAAAAGAAATTTGTCAGCGTTCATTTTCAATAGATGAAATGTGGAGAGAGATTTATTGGAATACTACTGAAATAAAAGATGATGTTGCAACTGCTTCAGGTATTGTTGCTATTCAGTCGAATGAAGCGATGCGGAAATAATGCAGACGAACTTCCAGGATCAAGCGTTCCATGATCTACGTATGTGCTGTTCATGATAATCATGGCGCTTCATTTAAAACATCGCTCTTTTGATTGCTTCTTATTTGTAATGCTTCTCACTTTTGTTTGGAGATCGCTTTGAGTCATCATTTGTTTTATTTTTTTTTGTCATTCGCCGCCTAATAATTTGTCTTTTATTTAAGGATCTTTTCGACGTTTGTCGTGATACTTTAGTTTTCTTACGGAACATTTTCTTTATACACTTATATGCAGAATTCTTTTTCCCTGTGTAATTTCCTTTCATCTAAATCTGTTTTAATTTTCTCTCCATATATGGAATTCATTGAAGTGTTTTGTGATTGTTAATAATAAAGTTTATGTGTAGTGTTGCATGATTATTTTTAGATTTGGCAATAAATGAATAAATATTTATGATACGATGTTTTTGGCAAATGACTTAAATATTTTTCTTACCTATCAGTTAGCAATTTCACTGTTCAAATATGTTTTTTCTTTTTTCGTTATATTCAACCAATCATGATGAAGGTCGCCTTAAGTGAAATAAGTATAAATAAATTTTTTGGACAAACTATTCTACACAACCTACAATACAGTTTTAACTGCCTAAAGGAAATGATGATGTCAAGAGCCTGCTTATTGTCGACGATCGTTCCACTGTTCGCGATTTTCGTTCAGTCTCAATATTCAGGTAAGACTCGCATGAAATTTTACATTTTACTTGGTGTTTTTTGTTGAACATATTTTCCAATAAAACCATATCAATTATTCGGCACACCTAACTACGCATTATTGTACGATATTTTTGTTCAATTTCAATGCATACATGAAGAAATTTCTTGTGATCTTCTTCTATTGTTTATCTCGAAAGATGCTAGGAGCAATTAGAAATACTATTTCTTCACTCAACAACTTCTTTAAATTTGATGATCTGACTTAAGTTTTAAATTTGTTCGGACAAACCAGAACAAAACTGCACAGTACTCTCTAAAGCATGACAACAACTACTAGAGTGAAAAACTTGTAAGTGTAGGCTACCTTTCGCTTGAGGAAATTATTAGTTAGAAACTAAACCTTCCTGGACATTACTAAATTGCATACATATACTACTGGCGATACAATTGACATGAGATGAAAAATTATAAGCTCAACAGTGAGGAAAGCCTAAAATAAGCAATGTGGGACAAGAGAGGAAACGGTATACACATACCAATATCTAAGGTGAAGCCAAGAGGAGAAAACTATCTAATGCGATATTATATTCTTTTCTCATAGTCACATTAAAATCGGGTGTAAACATAAATGAGGTTGAACAGAAAAAATGTATCTGAGCATCTAAAATTATAGAAGCGATATAAATAAACCTTCTTAGGATAATAATAACAACAGCGAATAAATACAACCAAAACAAACTTAATAAAGGAAAACAGCTATAGTCTAAATTAAACGCAAGTGTGTTTTCATTTTTCGGTTGCATAAATAAGGATGAATTCAGTCACATTTTCATTGTATTTATTGTAAGATAAATGAAAAATGCTCAAACAGTATATATAAATATGCAGAGAAACCCTATGTCATACGAATAGTTAACTGTCGTAGCACGAAAAATTCGCTACGGATGTAAGTGATTTCTAGAGGACATTAGTATAAAGTTACTGACCATGACAACAAAATTATAGGCATTTTGTAAGTTGACCACATTTTCGCCGAAGGACATAAGCATGTTATACAAAACTACGAAATAGGCGATCTAGTGAAAGGTGAATTGAGGCTGGTCTTAACCGAGATTTCAGTGCACAGGAAATAATCATATACCTATTAAAAATCTCTGAACACTGTTTATTGAGTATCTGATATAATGCTGTGTTTGTATTATCTTGTACATTTATTCGTGATTTTGTAGATCAATGTCTAAGTAAGTGGAAATTAGGCAATTCAGGTGTTATTTAAACGGATTATTTGAAATCATATGACAAGCAATGCACTTAAAGAGACTGTGAGTTGCTGACAGTGTACATAAAGTAACTTGCAGTGATCTGTGTTTGTGCAAGGAAGCTGTTGGTGGTGTCAAACTCACTAATGATTCTAGATCAGTAGTCACAATATGGTGAAACTGATTCAGCATTTTGTGACTGGTGCTCAGTGTCTATCAGTGAGCATCTAAATGACATCATTGTTCACACTGATATACACAACAACTAATTGAATTATATGAATTAGAGACAGATATGTAGTTTCCAACTATCCATACCTGCGAAAAGTTTTTTTGCCTTATCATGCATACAAAAAGATAAGATAAATATAGATGATAGATTATTGAATTATGAGTAAGTTATAATGAAACAGATATCAGGTAATAAATTTATTTCTCTATTAATCGACAGATGAATGTAGTTGTGAGTTGTTTGATTTTACAACACAGTATTTATTTGAATTTATTTAAACGGATTATTTGAAAACACCTGACAAGCAATGCACTTTAAGGGATTTTTAGTTGCTGCTGCTCTGAACATCCAAAGCGAAAAATCAAAGCTGATGGTGTTCATCAAGTAATTTGAAGTAAACTGTGTTTGAGTGTCGAAGCTGTTGGAGGTGTCAAACTCATTATTGATCATAGACTAGCATTCACTATGTGATGCGACTGATTCAGCATTTTGTGACTAGTGCTCTGCGTTTGTCAGTCAAGGTGTTTTCGGCTTTGAAGATCACATTTGATCTCGTAATGGAATATTAGGATGTAATGGTGTGACGCATTCGTCTTTTCTTTATTGCTGTTTCAAGCAGACTATCTGTAGGATACATTTCTGTCTGTGAATGTACATGTATAGGAATATTTATTTAATTTTTGTACATGAAACTTATTTATTTCATTAGCGGAGACGAGTTTTTTAGGTATGCTCTCATATTTAGCTATATTTATTTAATATTAGTTGATTAATCACTTATGTTTCGATGGAATAACAGCTAGGGCTGTTTGTTTAGTATGCTTTATCAACGGTCAATCGTCGAATAAACGATTGGCATTTTGAGATGTGCAGTACATACATTTGTCCGAACATGATGTGAACACTGCTTAGTCTCTACGAATTAATGTCGCAGTGACATCATGTTTTACGCTGATCCGTTCAATTATGACAATCGCTGTTTTGGAATACATTTAGGTTTGAAATTCAAGATCGATGTGCCTGAAGATTATTATGATAAAGATGAAGGAGACATATGCTTAGTTTACAGGACCTATTGAAATAGATGACTGAGAGCATGTAGTTGTGTCTGCAAATGCACACCACAAATGAACCAAGTTACAGAGTAAATATTAAAATAAAATATATTGTTCTAAGAAGTTGTGACTAAACAAGGTATTCATATCCTTGAAAAGAATTCGCTACAACTGGAGACGAAATTCATCATTTCAGTAAGCAATGGTTTTATGATTACTGTTAATCAAATGTTGTAGTCGCAAGTCACTGATGCTTTAGATCGAATTCAGCTATGTGACATTTTTTTTCCTAGCAACAGTTAGTCGAAGAGAAGTTAATGGAGATCTTGACGTGTACATCACATATACTAGAGTGTACACCAGTGTGTATGTGTGGTGTTTGTGATGGTCGAGCAATCGATAATTTTAGACTAATAGTCACTATTCATTGCTGTCGATACAGAATGATGCGACTTCGGATCAATCTTTAGGAGTTAACGTTGTAGTGATATGGAAGTATATATTGACTCGCACAATCTTGATATTTGATTAAGCTATCTGATGTCTAAATAATTGAACGAAGAATTGTAGGTAGTTGCTGTGTTCAGACTATTGAAATTGAGTCGGTTAGAATACGAATACAGAATAGAATGCAGGAGATGATTGGCACGGATGAAATACATTCATATAAATACACATTACCAAATACGAAAAACAAATAATACTTACAGATGACTCACCGAGAAGTCAAAATGTAAATGGCACAAAAAAGAAAGTTATTTGGTTTGTAATTGAGTGCACTGATAATGAAAATATTGTTATTACAGTACAATGTATGGGTATGTTGAAAATTAACAGATAAGCATATTGACTTGATATAATTATCATTATAATTTTATTCAGATGAATGATGACGCATTGCCGTAAACCTTAATTTGCGACAGCCTAAATGTTAACCCGATTACTGAGACTCGACTGTGTACACAAACTAAATTTTTAAATGATGACGGAGTAAAGATCAAGCATTGTTGATATTCAAGTCATCACTACCAACTGACTGACAAACAGACAAAATGTAACGCTCTCGACTCAGCATGATGTGACTACTAATCAATGCACGTTTCAGTTCACTTCTAACCACCAGCATCATACACGCACAATCAGGAACATTGATATACTTCATTGTGTAGTGTTGTGCAAATCGCACTCAGTCCCATGACAGAAAGAGGAACGAACCATGGAGAAGACAGATGTGTATCGTAAAAGAACACTTATCGGAGAAATCTTAGAGCAGTTGATCTTATCGCGAATTCATTGCACAGGAAATAATCGCATACTTAGTTAAAAGCTGTGAACGCTTTTTTTATAAGTATCTGGAATAATACTGTGTTTCCATCTTTTTCTACTTCTTTTCATGATATTGTAGAAGAATGTGAATGTAAGTGGTCGTTCAGATATTCATATGATATTTGAAAAATTATTTATTTGATTTTTTTTAATGCAATGCACCTAGAGTGATTTTCAGTTGCTAGTGCTCTGAATATCGGAGGCGATAAGTCGGAGCTGATGTTGTTCATCAAGTCATTCGCACTGAACCGTGTATGTGTGAGGAATCTGTTGGTTTTGTTAATTTCATTATTAATTCTAGACTAATAGTCAAAATATAATGTGACTTACTCATGATTTGACTACTGATAAGTCTTCAGCAGTTCACATCATAATGTATACTTGTCTAATGCAGACTGTGTGGATCTTGACAATTCGCCTATTCGAAACTATCAGA